TTATGAATGCTGCTTCGCGGCGTCCATCCGGCAACCCAAGCCCCGCCGTTTCCCTATGCACCTCTAGAAAGGGAGTCCGACACCATTTAGTTCAAAGCTTTGTCGACATTTTATTTTCAATAATTGTGCAAAAAAATATTAAAAAGGAAAGGAAAAAAAAATAATGCACAAAGTTTCGTCGAGATTCATTTTTCTCAAGAATAATTGTAAAAAAAAAAAATGTATGTTTATTTTTTGCATCGAACCTGGGTTCGCTTTGTAAGAAGCGGGAACCTTTCCACATAGCTACACCTGAGAGTACTCGTTTTGAGAATTCGTTTTATACGAGATTCAACAAGTTTCGCGTCGTGCACATTATTCGAAACCGAATCCTGCGTCTGCATTTTACATATTTCTAGAACAGAACTGTCGTGGGGTGCGTCTCTGGGAGCGAGTGAAGGTGCAGCAGCTTATTCAAGACTATACTCCGTTTCATACGTAGCATGCAACGCAGTCAAAGCTAGCGCACCGGTTTGCATCGCTGACCGTGTCCACGTTCACCCCATAAAATAGTGCGTCCCCTGCGAAAACAGTCATAAAAAAGTCAAAAAAGGTGCCTCCTTGGATCTAGAAACTGATGGTGGTGTTATGATTTCGACGGAGCACAAATTTTTTTCAATAAAAAGGAAAAGATAATGTAAACTACTTTAAATTGTTTTCGTTTTCGTCCGTGCGGCAGCAGCTGCGGGTTTTCGGGTTGTGTGGCACTGGCTGGTTTTGAGAAGATGGCGTCTTACGCAACAAGCTCAAGTACCTCTCCTGCTCGGATATTTTCAAAGATTCGTTGTGCGCAGACCTTGAAAGAGTGCAAGCAGGTGATCGCCAACGTGTACGCGAGTACAAGAACGCGTTTCCCGGAGAAGTCGGTCGTGAAGTCCTGGAGACGGTCAGTAACAACACCGGAGTGTGCGCCCGTACTGTCGCGAAGTACAAGGCGCAGTGTTATCTGGCAAGCTGGCGTCTCCGAAGCGAAGACCTCGCCATGTAGAAGTTTCGAGCACGGGGACTGTCAAGCATGCCGAATTCACACACAACGCCATTCGCCTCAAGGTGCATCGCAAGTACCCCGAGAGGGGGATTCCTACCCTTGACAGCTATTTCAAAATAAGCTGTTCAGGCCACAACTATTGTCGATTAACGTCCTATTATAAATTTTGGGGCAAGGCTGCTATCAGTGAGATTCCTCATTCCACGCTGCACGAAAAAAAAATATATAACTCGGTGCTGCAGGCAATAAACACTTGCAAAGCGGCAGAGCAGATGGTAGAAATGTGGCCTCTCGGCGACTTACAAATAAATAGCAAGAAGAAAGGAGGAATCGAAATATGTAGTTCGGCAATGCGCACAATCTTGCACAAAAAATGGCTAAAAAAAACAAAAAAAACTGCGCGTCTAGAGGGTTTGAACCACTGCCGCCGAGACGTCGGTATCGCCAGAGCAGCCCTACCACTCGTCCACGAAACGCGCCCAGGAACATTTTTTTTTCTTCTGTATTTTCATGCGCACCACTTCAGTACCTTTGACAGCTATGCACGCTATGTATGAAAATGAGTATAAGTGCCCATTTTGAGAACCACACCACCACACTGCGAGTTGAAGCAACGCCGAAGGCTCGCGTCTCGCAGCGCCGCCTGTTGAATAACCATTCGAAGAGTTTGCACACTGTGAAGGTAAGAGCGCTCACACCGAAGAGCTCTCTTTACAACGCCTACACACACACACAGAGCTCACAATTGAAGGGGGGCCACTGAGGTTTTAAGAGCCACTGATCGTAGCAACCGCAATCCAAAGACGCCGCGTTGTCGTAGATTGTTTTTCACCAGCTAGGTCCTATAGGGATGAGGCCAAGGCCAAGGCCAAGGCTGGGGGATTCATCGCCGGAAACGTAAAGGAACCAAGCAAACGGCGTGAGGCTCGCGGAAGCGGTCCGTGGGAGCCGACGACGTCGAAGCCACGATCCAAGCAGCCCTAGTAGCAGCCTTGCTTCCGAGAAGACTGTATATTCTTTCCGGCGGGCACACAATACTCCGACAGCATGCTTGCCGCTGATGTGGATTGCAGGAGGTGGCTAACAGGACGACCAATGCACAGAAAATAGGTTGAGCACAACACAGCACGCAACGATTGTCGCCGCCATGTTGAAATAAAACCAAGCTGAGACAGGCCAAGCTACAGTTTAGTATACGACAAAGCTGAGACAGGCCAAGGTTCAGTTTAGTACACAACCAACATACTTCATTACAAAGAATTAGATAAATGTTTAAACAAATTTTTTTTACGTTTAAAAGTTTTAATGTATGTCGATTAAAACAGAAACATTCACGTTGCGTCAAATGAGTTTCGTCGTAACCAGCGAACGTCGCTGCGTCGGCCGCGACGCCATCGCCAGCGTAACCAAAATCAAAAACAAAGCAAGCTGCAAACTTTCGGGCAGTTTCAGGCCTTTAGTGCCTTCTAGAGCACTATATAGCTCCTTCGGAGCAGAGTAGCGCAATCTAGAACGCCGCCTCTCGGCGACTAGCGGCGAACGCCCGGAGGTTCCAACTGCTGTCAGAAATGCATGGAGAACGTGAGAAAATCGTTGTTTCTTCAGTATTGTGGGGATGTACGGAATGGCAATCGTTTTTGACATAATAATGGAACATTTTCGAATAATTTCCGCTAAGTTTTGTGCCCCGCAAGGACCTGACTTTTTTTAAAAAATTGCCTGAGCGGCATCATGCAGCAGACGACACGGCGACGTCACACCATTCACGTGACCCGCTCCGGCCAACCCGAAAAGCCCATCCCCGCTGCGAGCAGAAATCGTCTGCTTCAAACGCCATTGCCTTGGAAATTGCCTTTTTAAAATTTGCACACGCATCCGATATTATTAAAACTTTGATAAAGTGTTTAATAATTTACTAACTTCACGACAGACTAGTTTTGAAAAGTGTGAACTCGCCGTTAATTTTTTAATCAGCCGTGTTGTGTCGATCTCCATGTATTTTCCCATAGGGCGGGCCGCCTCCTGGAACCCTGAGTACCACGTGACTCGCGCCGAGCTGCTCTGTCGGCCATGTTGTCGGCAAAACACGGGGTTCAATGGATTGCGCTACTCTGCTCCGTAGGAGCTATATAGTGCTCTAGTGCCTTCGAAGAACGTTCTCCGAAAAACAAAAAGTGTCTCAGATGTCGCCGTGCCCATGGACGGAGCTGTGGGTTTTGTGTCTACTTGGTGAGTACTCGTCTATTCGCTTGACTTTTTCAGTGGTTTCTTTTCGGAGCGTTCGTGAAGTGTCCTTGTGTGTGTGTGCAGGAAGCGTGAAGGCGAACGCGGCGAACGTGTGGGGCTCCTTGTCGCACACGTGCTTTGCGCATGGGATGACCTTCGAGCTTTTCCCGAGGAAGTCCTGCAACCGACCTGTCAGCACGGCCTGTCAATGAGCGAGTAGTCCGATTGCGGGAACGCACACAGAGGCGAAGGTCCCACCGAAGCCGGAGGGGGGGGGGGACGGGACTTCGTAAGTGTATCGGGAGCTTTATCTCGTGGATGATCGGTGGACAAGGCGAGTTCTACAAATCGGGTGGCGCCTTTGTACTGCTGTGGTACCACCTAACTAGGCGGTGTGTTTCGCGGAACCCATGACCGCTATGGTGCCCATTATGTGCTGGCGCTCGTATTTGCTCCCCGTTGGCTTTCACTCCGGGTGTTCGAAATCAGGTTCGTTTCTCTGCATTGTTGATGTTGCTTTCGAAGAGGTCTTTTTTGACTAGGGCACAAACTTTTTATACAAAAGGCTGTATATGTTGCAGTTATTTGGTAGCCCTCTGGCTGTAGTGTATTGTGAAGGTTGTGGGAAAAAACGCGCATTGAGCAATTACAAAAAGATATACCGGGTGTTTTTGCGAAGACTTTCAAAAATCCTAATAATTAGGGCGATTGAAAAAAGAAGCTCTCTTCGGGAACAAACTACGAGCCACGGCGGACGGCAGGAATTGCCAAAAACCTACTAATTAGCCAGATAATTACCCAGACAACACACCGTATCCCAGGGATGTCCCAAAAACCTCCCGACTTCGCAAACTCCAACTTTAATATCCCTAGGACCTCCGTGGGACATCCGTTAGTGAATGATCCCGAAAACTTCCCACTGGGATGTCCCTCGGAAATCGGTCACCGGATGAACTGGGGATGTTAAAAAATCAAAAAATTTTAGCAATAATTTTTTTTTTTTTTTTTTTTTTTTTTTTACGTTAGGGTTTACGCAGGTTTTTCTGTGTTGACGTCCGAAATTTAAAATATTATGGTAAAGGTGGACAGCGAGCGGTCTGTCGGATAACGGTACCCCGCGTTCGACGGTCCGACACGGAGGGTGCCTTCGTGTTGGACACGGGGACAAGCACTATGAAGAACTTTTTTTCTTGTTCCGTAATGGGGCCAGTTTCGTTTTTCTCACATAAAATGATAAGTTCGGCTTGACATCTCTTGAATACAATGCACAAGCACATACACTTGGAGTTTCCTCTAAAAATTAGCTTAGTTTCAGTTTCGGTACTGCAAATGTTTAAAAAAACGAAAACGTTAAACATTAGTATTAGTCCGTTCCTTAAACTATGCACTACTGTAAAAAAGTGTGGAGGGAGGTAGCGAAAATTAATTAACGTGTACATACTAAGTTTTATTATTACTGAACCAAGCATGTATAACTACTGTACAACCGAAGTCAGTTGGAGTCTGGCCACATTGGTCATGCTCCGGCAGCTTTCGCGCCAAAAAACGGAAACCGGTCCTCGCTTTCAACTCCTAGCTATTTTCTCCGCTCCGATTGTTCTGGTCTTTGAATGAAAAAACGAAACACGGACGCGAATTAGACAGACAGTTGAGCAAAGCTTGGAATACCGTTGGTACCCCTGGCGCGTTGCTGCACCCATGGAAAGCATGGAAAATCAACGAGCTACTCCAGGTAACGTTTTGTATTTACACTTGCCACTTAGTGCGGGTAGCGTGTTCTTGCCACTTGTGTGTGCACGCAAAGGCCGTGGCGTGTAACCTGCTTACCGAAGGACCAACCTCCAAAAACCACGTTTTATAGGCGAGCGCGTAAAAGGGCCTTTGAAGATCTGCATGCTCTAACGGCCGATGAAGTTTTCCAAGTGGGCCAGCTTGGCGACGGCTTGATCCCGGTTGAAGAGCAGCATGGCCGAAGAGAGCGGAGCCATCTGCTTTCAACATTCAACTCCGACCTCGAGAGCTTGGAGCCAGATGAAGCCCAACGTGCTGACCTCCGGCCTCAGCAAATTTCAGAGAGCTCAGGCTCCGAGCTCTCGAGCTCGGAGCCAGATGAATTCGACCGAGTTGACTTCCAGCCTGGGGACAATCCGGAGAGCTCAGGCACAGAGTTTGAGAGCTCGGAGGCAAATGAATTCGACCGAGCTGACCTACAGCCTCAGAACATTCCGGAGAGCTCGATTCGATATGAAGAGAAGAGAAATTGCGAGGATGCGGACATTCATGAATCGATTGTAGGAAAACTCCGGAGCTGGGCTCTTGACACGGCTACGCCTCACCGCGCACTCACTGAGCTTCTGAAGATTTTGCAAACTCATTCCTGTTTTGCATCAATCCCCGGCAGTGCTAGATCACTGCTTAAAACCCCCAGAAAGGCATGTGTAGAGAAGATGGGAGCCGGCAAATACTGCCATTTCGGTGTGAAGGAAGGACTTGACGATACTTTGAAACGAGCACGTTTTGTGCCAGACGTCATCAAGATCAATGTAAACATTGACGGTCTTCCGCTCACAAAAAGCACCCGTGATCAGTTCTGGCCTGTGCTATGCCATGTGACCAATTGCGGGAAATGTGACCCCTTTCCCATTGGTGTTTACTATGGCAAATCAAAAGCCGTTTGTGCGGAGGAATTTCTGCGGCCTGCTGTGTCCGACATCATTGAAGCACTGAGCGACGGATTAATCTTCAAGGGCAGGCATTTGCGAATCGAGCTTTCTGTGCTCATCTGTGATGCTCCCGCAAAGTCCTATGTCCTCGGCATCAAGGGCCACAATGGTTACTTCAGTTGTACAAAATGCCAAACAGAAGGTGACTTTCTCAATGGTCGCGTGTGCTTTCTGCAGCTTGATGCCACGTTGAGAACAAATGCGAGTTTCCGAAGCCATGCACAAGAGGAACATCATCTCCAAAGAACTGAACTGGAAAAGCTTCCTATTGATCTAGTGAAGAACGTTCCATTGGACTATATGCACCTTTTCTGTTTAGGTGTGGTTTCTAAGCTCCTGAGATTATGGCTCAAGGGTGACAGCAGGTGTCGGTTAGGCACGGCTGCACGAGATGCTATATCTTTAGCCAACCTTGAGATTGAACGGTACATCTGTTCTGATTTTGGTCGAAAGCCCAGAAGTCTGCTCGATTTAGACCGCTGGAAGGCGGTAGAATTTCGGCTCTTTGTGTTATACACAGGGCCCATTGTTTTTTACTCGAGAGTTCCAGAGCCTTTCTTCTTCAACTTCATGACTCTGCACGCTGCCATCACAATTCTCAGCAGCCCAAAACTTTGCCTTGAGTATGTGGACTATTCTGAACAACTGCTTGTACATTTTGTCGAGACCTACATTTCATTGTATGGAAAGGATAAGGTGTCGCATAACGTGCACAACCTTATCCACATTGCGAATGATGCACGCACTCATGGACCCTTGGATGGGTGGAGTGCATTCCCTTTTGAGAACTTTATGGGGACATTGAAAGTCTTTCAAAGGACACCCGAGAGACCCTTGGAGCAACTCTACAACAGAATCACTGAACGCAGAAGTATGTTTGTGAAGACAAAGTTCAAGGATAAAAATCACTTTTTCCATGAACATGTCAATGGCCCACTGTCTGTTGGATGTAAAGGCCCTCAATACAAGGCTGTTCAAATCCCTCACAAATTTACGTTGAGGACTCGCATCAATGACAACACCTGTATGCTCAACGATGGTGACATCATCATGATCCAGAACTTCACTTTTTGCTCCACGTCTGGCCAGGCACTGGTGATCGGCAAGCGGTTCGAGAGCTCAAGTGACTTGTATACCCACCCCTGTCCGTCGTCAATGCTTGGTGTTGTGCTGGCGTGTAACCCTTCCGTCACCAAATCGTGGCCACTTTCAGATGTTGCCCAGAAATGTGTCCGAATGCCTTACAAGGGGAAATTTGCTGTCTTTCCTTTACTTCATTTGCAGTAATGTCACCTCTTTCAACTTTGGTTGTATATTGATCTGCAATCTTCATTTGTTGACAGAATCTTTCTTTTTTATTTATCTAGATGACAAAAAGTTTGGAGTTGTCAAATTCGTTGGTGACAATACCGTCGCCGTTATTCATTTAAACTGGGTGGATGGGGCTGACTGCTTTTGGCCGGCTGGAACACACAAGAATCTTGGTGCTCTCACCTTGGAAGGTGCCCAGCCACAGCCAGATTGGAAGAAATCCCGTTTTGCTTCCTTAGGATGGTATGGTAAGTGGAAAAAACTGCTTGAGATATTCTAGCAACTGAATGCTTGGTGGAGACATAGCAATCCCTTCTTTTTTACAGACACTTACCAGAAAGCCAGAAGCAAGTTGCCGACGGCCGAGTTGACATCGGACCTTTGTAGCGACGTGGAGATGGGTCGTGGGAGAAGGAAAAAAGCCAAGAGGATCTTGTATAGTGAAACTGAATCTGAGGGTGAAGAGACCTACCAGCCACCCAAACCGCCAACTCCACCATGCTTTAAACCAACAACGAAAAGTGAGTGGTTTACTCCGTAAGCAGCAAACTGAGCGCACCTCTACGGAAGGTATTTGCTTTTTGACATTTCACATGTCTGAGTTCTTCCAGTTCTTGTTTCAAATATAACTCGGGCATGTTTATTTCTCCAGGCGTCCGCTGCAGACGTAAAGTGCCCCAGGTTCGAGAAAAGACTTACAAGCCCTCCGGCAAGCGAGCACATGGTAGTAAATGTTAATTGCTTTTGGTGCTTTGTTTCAATGCCTTAGCAGAATTGCTTCAATGTTCCTTGGTTGGTGCTGTATTCTTAGCATGTGATTTCAGCGACAATGGATTCATCATGTCTTTTTAGGCAGCCACCGCCTTTTTAAAGGCTGATCCATTACCTCGGTACCAATCAGCAACCAAGGATTCATTGAAGTTGAACCCAGTAGGCAGGCGAACTAGTAAAGGATAGACGTAGTAACCCTGGAGTGGGGACAAAAAGGATGGACACAACACGGAGCTTTGTGTTTGTGGTCATCTTTTTTGTCCTCACGCTCCAGAGTTCCGATGTCTAAGAATTCATGTGGAGAGGCTAGACATGGTACGAAATATTCATCACTCCTACGGCTAATGCGTGGTCTCTCTTTCAGGCAGTCGGCGTAAATCTCATGAGAAATTGTCGCCTCAGCACCATTCACCAACAAGTTATTTCTCTCAAGAACAGACACACGGTAATAAACATCTACCACTTTTGGAGCTTTTCTGTGGTGGGGTTGTCTTGTATTATGTTTAAAGTAAGGTGAATGCATGGTTTATTTTTCAGGCAGTCACTGTGAATCTCATGGAGAGCTGTCATCTCGGCACCGTTCACCAACCAGTCATTTCTCTCAAGAGTAGACACATGGTAACAAGCATTTATCACTTTTCGAGCTTTTTCTCAACACCACTCCAGGATAGCTTTCCTGTGGTGGGGTTGTCTTTCTTGTATCATGTTTAAAGTATGGTGAATGTTTGGTTTCTTTTTCAGTCAGCCGCCATGAATCTCGTGGAGAGCTGTCACCTCAGCACCGTTCAGCACCCAGTTATTCCTCTGAACACTGGACACATGGTAATAGATATTTATTACTTTTGGAGCTTTCTCTCAACACTCCCAGATAGCTTCTCTGTGGTGGAGTTGTCTTTCTACTATGTTTAATTTATTGCAAATGCATGATTTCTCTTTCAGGCAGTCGCCGTGAGCCTCGTGGAGAGCTGTCACCTCGACACCGTTCAGCAACCAACTATTCCTCTCAAGAGTGGACTCATGGTAATAGACATTTATTATTTTTGGAGATTTTTCTCAACACCACTCCAGGATAACTTTTCCATCGTGAGGTTGTCTTTCTTGTATTATCTTGAAAGTACGGAAAATGCATAATTTCTCTTTCAGGCTGTCGCCGCGAGCCTTGTGGAGAGCTGTCAACTCGGCGCCGTTCAGCAACCAGTGATTCCTCTAAAGAGCGGACACATGGTAACAAACATTTATCACTTTTGGATCTTTTTCTCAATACTTTTCCAGGATAGCTTTGCCTTTTTTGAGGTGATATTGCCTTAATTGTATATACCGTAATGTACCGAGCAAGCGCCCTCTCAAAATTTGGAGATAATCGCGAAAAGAGGGGGGATGCTAATCCCCTCTTTTCTTTGAGATGCTACAATATTTGGAGGTGGGCGCTTAGTGTGGAATGGGCGAACACCCAGTATTTTACGGTACTTTCTAATATGGTGCACACAAGATTTTTCCATCAGATACTCGCCGTGCATTCCATAAAGAAACGTCGCCTCGCAGTCAAGCGAGCAAGTCACCTGCTTGGTGGGAACATGGTGAAAAAAGTGCTTTTTGTTTGCTTGATTTGTTTATGGAAGACAGGAACCTAACTTGTGCTTTAATGAGGGAACTTGTTTACAAACCAGCATAGTCCGTGCTTCGTTTGGCTGATTTCACTGCTTTGGAAGTTATTATCTCGAGTGCCTTTTGATATCTGCCCTATTGTGGTAATTCAGTGCTAGAAGAGCTCTGTTACATATCTCTTTTCTTCCAGGAACCATTCCATCTATAGACAGCGGAGGGTTACTAACTGTCTTCATGGACACATAAGTTATTAGTCTTAGTCTATTTGCAATATTTGGGACTAAGTTTGAACCTGTTTACTGTGGATGTGCATTGTTATACAGATCAGGCTTGAACCGCAGTTTGCGCTCAATTTCTTTGCCAGGAGGCCGTTCCATGTCCCCTTTGACTCCGAGACATGAGCAAGCAAGCCAAGAACACGGTAATAAATCCAAATTTTTGTGGCATATCCCATTTTCAAAAAAACAATCCCTTTTGCTATTTGAGCACACACTATAAATCTTTCTCTTACTATTATGTTACATTGTTCAGATGGTGCTTCAAATCCTATTTAAGGATACTTTTGCTGTTTCACAGGTGATCACATTTTGAAAGACGGACAGCCTTATACTCATGGCCCGAGTACATCAACATCCAGCCAGCAATTGAGTGGTGATGACATTCAATTGTTTTCTTAAGACTAGATACCTCTTGCTCTAACATATGTTCGTCTGCTGGGATCGCCTTACGTACAACTTTGTGTGCACTCGTTCTAGGCTTTATGATGCAGGTACTGAAGTCGCTACACATCATGAGACAAACCCAACAACACCAATCTGAGCAGCTCTTGATGATCACCGACATGTTACACCATGTGGATGGGCCACCTGCTGAACCTCTAAGCTTTGCACAGTTCGAGACCCTACAGGAATTCCTTGCCTTTGAGAAAGAGTTGACTGCATGCGAACAAAAAAGGGTCCAACTGGTTAGCTCACGTTTGAGATGCACTCTTTTTTATAAGGAGGATAAATCCATACTACTTTTTGTACGGCCTCTGAGGCCTTCACACACCCTCCTGCAGTAGAGGCGACCCATTCCCCACGTCCAGCAAGTTCACATTTACTATCTTTGGTATTTTATTTCAGAAGCAGCAGATGCAAGTAATTGGGGGTGATGATGCGAAAGATAAAACTGCCCGAATTCTTCGCAAAATGCTGTGCCACGAAGTGGGGGCAGCCTTCACATGGTATGGGACCAAGACAAAGGGAAAGTTCTCCAGTCTAGAGTTCTGCAAGGTGATGTGTGGTATGTACCCATGCAGTGTAATGATATCATTCATGATTTTTACTTTGTGTGTGTGGAACGTTTATGAGAAACTCATTTACAATTGGTTAATTTCATTTCCTGTTGGCTCTAACTAATAAAATCATGCTATAAGACATGGTGCTGCAGCTAAGTAACACATCTGCTTCTGCTAGATTTTAACCCTAAAATATTTTACAGCTTGCATTACAGCAAGCAAGCCGAAGGAGGTGGCTGTTGGTACCCTGAAGGAAGTTGAAGCCACTACAATGTCATGGCTGCGCCATGCCCAGGAGAGGCTTCAAATGCATTGCAATAAGTAAGCCTATTCATTTGTGTTCAGCTGAGGTTGCAATGTTAAGGTTCATGAAATTACATGTTGCATGTCCAACTCTGAAATATATGGCCACGGTTCGGAACATATTAAGGAATGGAGCATACCACTCTCAAATGAACTGCATTTGCTTTGGTTGAGGTGTCTACCTGAAAAGCTACAAACATGGTCGCACTAGAATAATTAATAATTTAAGCAGACATTCAACAAGGCAGTTTCAACAGGGAATTCAGCTTATCAGCTTGTTCTTCTATCTTCTAGGGATGTGGAAGAACCCAGGGAGGGTCTGTGAAAGCAAGATGGCCGGAAAGCTATGGATAGTCTGTAAGAGCCGGGAAATGGTGTGTGCAAATAAAATAGATGTTACCTTTTCTTACAGATTGGAGTTGCCTTTTTGTTAATGAGAACCTCATCTGGAGTCTTGCAAAAGGGCCGTCTTCACATGCAGTGTGTTTTACATTCTAGTAAACAGCAGGAGGCACTCATTTTGTTAAATGAATACTTGATAATCAGTATATCATGCATGTAATGATGCTGTTTTTCAGGGGTCTTTGGCTACATCCTCAGTAAGAACTGCATTTACAGCTGTGAGGCTGCAAGAGACCCCAGTTGTCATGCGTTGTAAAACTCCTAACACTCACCATAGTGAGATTTACTTTCCTTCAAAACAGCACATGCCATGTCTCCCTTACACCAGAATGTAGAATGCACATCGCCTGTGTTGGCGGCTCGGTACACTGGCTCCAGTGGTTTCGAGTAATTTCAAATGGCATCCGCAAACCAGAATGAGCTGTCCTGTGCAAGTCGCATAGCCATCCAATGTGGGATAATACCTCCCAAAGTAGTCCTACTCGCATCCCGTGAGAGTACGAAGGGATGTCCACGGGACCTCCGTGGGAACCTCCCATGCCATTGTTTTCAGTGCCATTTGGGACGTCTACGGGAAGTTTAAGGGGGGAATCTGGGATATCCCTGGGATGTCGCTGCCATCCCGGTGGGACTTCCATAGGACGTCCCTGGGATACATTTGTGTTGTCTGGGTAATTACAACTTGTTAATTAACTTTTTAATTAGTGGAAATAGACATATGATTCCAATTAAAAAGTTGCTGAACGTTATCGAAAACCACTAAATCAGTCATTTTCAGAAAGACTTTAAGCGCTTGAGAAGAGTAGTAGCGCGCTAAAATTACCACTCGTGGAGCAGGTACAAGGCTGGGGCTAGATAAGAGGCAGAAAAATCGCGCGGGCGCTTTACCGCGAACGCTAGCCTTGTACCTGCTCCACGAGTGGCAACTTCAGTGCGCTACTACTCGTCTCACGCGCTCAAAGTCTTTCTGAAAATGACTGATTTAGTGGTTTTCGATAACGCTCAGCAACTTTCTAATTGGAACCATATGTCTATTTCCCCTAATTAAGAAGTTAATTAACAAGTTTTAATTAATTATCTGGCTAATTAGTAGGTTTTTGGCAATTCCTGACGTCCGCCGTGGCTGGTAGTTTGTTCCCGAAGAGAGTTTCTTCTTTTTTCAATCGCCCTAATTTTTTGGATTTTTGAAAGTCTTCGCAAAAACACCCGGTATATATAGAATGTAGTGTCGAGTACCGTCCGACGGCACTCTTGCAGAATGTTCACGTGCCTTGCAGTGGCACTCCACTCACGTCTTTAAGTGCCGTCCGAAAGTCTTATGTAAAGCGAATTGTCAAAACGAGTTTTTCGAAGTTGTAGCGTAGCTTATTGGAAATTGTAGCATAGCTCGCCTCATAGGCAGCGTACCCGGATTCGATCCACAGTGTGGGCTTACTTTTTACAATCTTTTTCTCGAACATTTTGTTTTGTCGAGGCATTTGGCGATATTTACGTCATTTCTTTTTTACCATTAACACTGAGAAAAAAAAAGGATGTTGTCGACGAAACTTTGCTTAAAGGGGGCCCTGCAACAACTTTTTGACTGGTTTTTAATTTGCACCGAACTTGAGCGCACTGAACGTAGTAACTTAATCTTTTCTCAAATTTCGCTTTATTTTAAAAGTTATAGGCAGTTTAGAATTACAAAAACAAACAAAAAATAACCTCTTTCATGACGTCGTAGGTCCTGGCTTGAGTGGCCGTGAACTAGAGGAGTAGTGAGCTCATCGAGCGCTCACGGCTGCTGCACTCCGTGTCGACGGCTCGAGAGGGCGCTACTAAAGCATATTCTGGATAGGCTGTATGAGGCGGGTGGCCAGGGCGGCTTGCATTGCATTTGCTGCGCGATTAAGGACTAATTTGGCATAACACTTCATTGGCCACAAACTACAGCAAACACGGTGTAAAGATCAGTTCAGAACGGGAGCCACTTCGCGCTGCCATACCGCCAAACGGCCAAATCGCCAGCCAAGCCCGTGCTGAAAGCCTTCGGAACGCTCGGAACCGGTCGAATCCTCGATCCGGTATACGACCGCAGCGCCGCCGCGTACATCCGGGACCTTTCTGTGCTCGCTGTTCGTCGGAGCCTCATCCCACAAGCCTTTTCTAGTATGCGCCGTTTTTTCCGCCGCTTGGTGGCGGGTTTGTCGACGAGTCTTTTCTTGTTTCCATACTTTATAAACTGCATTTGTTTCTTTTCTGATCTAAATTACCAAACAAAAACTACTTTCATACATAACTGAAACGGTTCGCGACACTTATATTTTGTATTTTGACAAAAAAAAAGCTTTTAGCGGCTCTGACCAGTGGTAAGCCCAGGACCAAAGATGTTACATATTGCGCGCTTTCGGCGATGCCGGTCGCCCTCATAAATGGAGGAGGTTTCCGCATCTTCCGGTTAAAATATGACTCACTGATATTTAGTTACTCTCTCCGTGCCCGCTGGCTTGCCCGAACCCCAAGAGACGTGGAAACCGCAAAGAAGGTAGGCGCTTAAATATGATTGCAGGGCCCCTTTAACAAAATGGTATGGGCGTCCCTTTCCGGAGGTACATGGGGGACAGCGGGGCTCGGTATGGGACAGGGGGGCTGGACGCTGAGAGGCGTCATGTGCAACGGGGCCAAGTAGGTTAATAGTTTTGTAATTAGCAGCCGCATACTGTTGCCGCGAGGCGGCATGAATGTATGTGGGGGGTTAGTTAACGAGCTCCCCAGGGATACATGTGCTGTTCGACTTTCTTTCGGACGGCACTTGTAGGCACGGGTGGAGTGCCGTCGGACGGCACTGCAGACAGCCAAAAAAAACAACAGAAAATGAGGTGTTTCAAACAACTTTCTTGAAGAGATCATGAACTGATTTTTCAACTACTTCCTCGTCAGCTTTCCTCCTCAGTACATAAGGAGAGTGAGAAACCATGTGGTTGTATTTCACTGAAACCCAAAGTTCTGCCAGCAGTCTGAGAGGCGGCATGGACAAAGCCCTACATAAATTTCACACTTCACATTTTTGCAAGTGCTGACAACCATGAAGGGAGCGACGGGACAAGCGATGGCGACCCTTTTTGCTATCGCTCAGCCGCATGATGAGGCACACTGCATGAAAGCAACTGGAGCAAGCGACCAATGTGATGAGCGACGTTTTCTAGTAATTCAAGGACCGAGCAGCGTTACAAGCGACAGTGAGAAATCTCCGTCGCTGTTGCCGATGCTCGTCTCGTTGCTCACTAAATCGCTTACATGCGGTCCAGCCTTAATTGTCTGAAAGCGAGAGACACCTGCCACGAGTGAGTACCGTGCTGCCACTCACTTCCAAGTGCCTCTCATTTCAGGGCTACACTGCCATTTGCTTCCAAGTCCTGCACGGGCCTCCTGCTCAGGCGCTTTGATGCCACTTACGAAACTAGCACAAACTCGTCAAGGGGGTTTAGGTGGGGTTAGTCATTCGGTGTGTTTGCCGCACTATTCTTTACGGTGCCTCGGCAGTCCACAGTCACTTCACAGTAACAAGTTGGGACGCCATGATGACAGCGGCACTTGTGCCTGCTTGTCTTATTCACTAGAGGTTTGAAGACCAACTGCAGACTTTCGGCAGCATGACACTTTCGGTTTTGTAACATCATTGTTGCTTCCTTGGGACAACTCTTAATACATGGGAGGAACAAGATGGCAATTGCACCAGTGGAGAATACGTCCAGGCACTATACCTGTACTAAAACTTGCTTGATCACCTATTTATTTATGATTATCTTTACACTTGCAGCGTTACCTCCGAGGCGGGGATTCCCGACCAGAAGAAAAATTTGACAGGGCCATAGGCAAGGCCAAGTTCGACTCGCGCTGCTGATCCTGTTGTCCCGGTGCCTCTACAAGGGCGAGGACCTGGTCGATAGGAGTGTGACAGGCCAACCTTCTAGGCGTGACAAAGTATGGCGCCGTGGGAGGGAAGCCCATTACACCTGTCAAAGTGGATGCAACTGCAGGTGCGTGCCTTGCTGCATGTCCGCCTTCCCGGTTCTAAACTATGTAGAAATTGGAAGGTTCAGCATCGTGCATTATATAGGTTTTATAGACCATACGCAAAATAGCTCTTGGGTATCACCATCATGCCGCTCGGAGCGACATGTGGTGGGTTTTGGTATCTTGAATGTGCAAATGCCACTATACCTCGTCTCGCCTCAGCATAACTAACTGCAAAAGCTGTGCAAGCGCAAGCGGGTAGCCTTGGCTGGAGGATGGAACCGCAGTATGTGTGCGTCCACAGGTTTCCAATGTCAACGGCAGAAGCTTCCAAGGGTGTCCCAAGCATGCACCAGCAACTTCGGGAGGATACATGGGCACTGCGAGATCTGTTAAAACTTCTTAAAAGTTCTTAGGACGAGGGTACATACTGGGGGCATTCTGGCACCATCTATGCGTTGACCCTGGAACTGCATTTTACAAGAGCGAAGGTTTCGCGGAATTTCCGAGGTCAAACATGTGTAATACCTGTAGGAATGGCTTGTTTATAACGTTGACAAAAGTTTTTCGAGCCAAGAAAGAAAAGATAATGCACAAGAGAAATAGTAAATATGCCGGACCGCCGAGTTTACACTGCTACCCAATAGATGGTGCCAGTGTGTCCTCTCGTTGTAAGAGGTTTTAAGGAACCCAATTTTAAGAGGTCGCAAGAGTGTGAACGGGCCTTTAGAGAACCATGCAGTGAACGGAAAACTTAACAGTTCATGCGTTCTTGGCATTTCATCAGGTTGTCGGCAGGCCTCTTCACGATGTATAATATGTGCATTGCTTTGGTATTGGTTGATTTTTCTGGAAACGGATGCCAGCAGGTACGGGCATAGACAATCGTAATTATATTCCTGCATCTGTACAACTTTTTTTGTTATTTTATTTTAAAGCTTGCTATTTAGTTTTGAAAGAACTTCGTGGTTCCCATGGCGAAGTTGCAAACATTATATTGGTATGCTCAAAACCA